TGAGGAAGGGGGGACACACCAGAGTCCTCTAGGAAAGAGGAGCAGGCAGCTGCCTGCGTGATCTTGGCACTGGGAGCTGGCTTGTGTTAGAGCAACGGCTTCCTCCCCCCGCTCCTCCCTCGAAGGGCCATAAATACGTTTAAACACCTTGCACTGTGTGTCCTGCAGACAAAAAGGTATCCCTTGACACCCGTGTTCAGTTCCTTCCTCTGAAAAACCAACCCAGGAAGAGCTGCCTGGCCATAACCAGGCCAGTCTGTCCAGTGCCCTGACCCCACCTCTCCTCAGCCACCAAAGGGATCCTACCCACGCAGGTACCTACCCCCAGCTGCAGCTGGGGTTTAGGAGACACAGGACAGGGGTGGGAGCAGCGAGCTGACAAACTCTGATGGCCCTTCACTAGGAAAGGCTGAGCATAGCACGACCAGCCCCAGCGAGCTGTTCGCATGTCAGGAAGCAAAAACAAGCCACTTCCAATCACCATCAAGTTCCCAAGCCCATGCTTTGCCTCCTGGGAACGCGCTGCCAGGCTCCAGCAGAGCATGCGAGCTGCTGGCACGCGAACCAGCCCTGCCCAGCTTGCACCCCACCTGTGCTGCCCCGGGCTGGCAGCCCCCCACCAGCAGGGATGGGGGAGGTCAAGAGGGCCACGGTAAAAAGCTGTCAGTGAGAGGGAGGAAGGTCACTGAGCAATGACTTGTGCCCGTAATCAGTTTATGGGATTTGTTAACAGCCGGGAACTCACTGCAACTGCATCAGCTCGGCTTTAGCACAGCAGCACCTTCCCACGCCGGGGGTGCAACGCAAGCAGGGTTTACTGACGCTCCTCAATTACCCAGACACAAGCGGCGCAGCAGGGCCGCTGTAGTACGAGGCCATCTAACAAAAGCCATCAATTAATACTTCCTGGGCAGCCAAGGGAAGAATGGCCACAGCTGGGCTCCTCGCCTTTCCTCCCCCAGAAGAAAGGGGTTTCGGGAAGGAAGGTGAGTGCTTCTAGGATGTGAGTCAGAGGGAGTTTCTGGCTGTACCTGCTGTTCCAACACTGCCATGCATCAGGAGCTACCCAAGGTCCCACTCGTGTAATGAGAGTGCCAGCCCCAAAGGAACACAAACACACACTCCACCACGCACAGGCTCATGATTCTGTTGGCAGCCTTCACCCCAGCAGGTGACCCCGACCCCAGCACGCCTGCTGCAAGCAGTCCCGGCCCAACGCTGTCAGCCACTGAGGAGGAGAAACGAGCTCAGCACAAGTCAAGAGCTGTGCCGGGGGGAAAGCCTTCGGCACATAAGAATGAATGTATTTGCTGCCTAAGTGACTTTTCTCAGCTCAAAGGGCTCACAGCAGTTTCTGGTCTTACCTCTCTGCTCTGCTCCCCCAGTCCCTGACTGTACCTGCCTGTATGCCAAGCGTTAGCTATGCAGAGATCAGCCTTAAAACCCCAGGGGTTCTCAGTTCAGCGTATCTGATTTGGAAAATCCTCATCGCTGGTTTGTCATCAGTATGTGGCACAGCAACACGAGAGGGACTCATTGAGGGTATGAGGAAGGGAAAGGGCAGGCTTGTTCCTCATGCCCCTGGTCTGGTGGACCATGAGGTCCCAACAAAGCTGAGTCAGGCAAGTGCCACTGCCCCACCTCTGCCGTTATCTGAGCAGTGCTGAGTCAAGCACCTGCCCTGCGCATTTACAGGGCTGTAAAGGGTACGGCCCAGCTTTATCACTGCACGCGGGGCCTTTGACTGCAACAAGGAAAACTCAAAAGCCAGTCTACCCTGTACAACAGCATATGCGCTACTTCAAGGTCTGCCCATGATCTCAAATTGCTTCTGTTAAAAAAGAAAAGTTCAAAGTCCATCACCTGCAAAGTAGCTCAAGGCTCACCATTACTTCAAGGGGGGCAGAGAACAGGGAGCAGCACAGGGAGCCAGGAGACACAAGTGCACACAGCAGCTCTGAAAGAGCTCCTCCACCAGCTATGCACATTGCTGCTACCCTTCAGACTTGGAGAGGGAA